CGGAGTTACTTTTTCAAATAAGTAGCGCAAGTTACTTTTTTCCCCCAATTTATTGATTGACAGCTCTCCGGTCCCCATGCTGAGAGAAATCAGATGTTACTGTAGTTCTAAAATAAATATGAATATGCGTTAATTCATCTCACTCACAAAACATAAATAAAGATTCAGTATTCCTCAGAATGAATAAAAATAATGCAACTCAGAATGTGACGCAAACCTGCAATAATTAAATGTTAAACACAAATATCCTTTATGTATTTAATCCCATTCTATTTGCTTCTGACCTTCGATGATCCAGTTCAACCGTACTAATAAGCACAAATTACTCTAGACAAACATGTGTCTTTTTTTAGTGCTGAAGTGTGTTAAATGTCTTCTTCTGCATTCTACTGTATGGATGTAAATTTACTTTCCCTTCAGCCTGAGGCTTCTTCATTTCACTTTTGGTGTGAAAAGGCTTTTATATTTGCCAAAAATAGAACTTTTATATTTTAAAAACAAACAAGCAAGCCCTGTCCAGATTTAAAAATTAACGCAATAAAGCATTACTTTTAAAAGTAACTTTCCCCAACACTGCACACAGGAACAGTCATGACTATGCCAGACCTTCAGAGTAGCTCCGGCGAACAGTCGGCGAGCCAGAAGCTTCCCGGCCTGAATGGCCACAGGCGTGAGCTCCCACTTCCCCTCCAGGATGTCTCCAATGGCATAGATGTGAGGAACGTTGGTCTGCTCCTCATCGTTCACTGGGATCTTCCCGTTCCTGGACGGAGGATCAGAAAACGACTCAATGTTAGCATTGGGAGAGCGAAGTCCAAGTCTTGAGGACTAAGTAAAGACTGCGTGTACACCAACAACAGTGAAATATGAAGGACTCGCATTAAAAGTCCATTTCACACTTGCTTCTGATGCTTGATCCGAATCGCGTTGTGTTACTCGGTTGCGAAACATTTGTCATTATTGTGAACAGCAGGATCATAATCTACCATTTTCCCCCTCAAAGCATCAAAACGTTTGTATTGAGGTTAATAGATTTGTGCATTCATGTCAATGACTAAAATGCGGTTTTACAGTTGCAAGCATTTCACTCATTTGCGACTTAAAATAGATATGCATGAACTCAAATGTAAGATGTATTTATGAATTACAAATGAAAATACTTATGTTTTATGAAAAATCAGATCAAAAGTCTTAAACATGATTTAATAAACATCTTAATTATCACTTAAAGAGGTCTTCAACTTGGTGATGGAAAAAACAGAAATAGCTTTTAACTTCAAAAAGCTATGATTTCATTTAACAAATATGTTGTGCGCTATATCCATCCATTTATCCATCCATCCATCCATGAGTGATGTGTATATGCACGGTTTATACAGTTTAAGGTAGGCCTATAAATAATTACATAATTAAATAGTTTGAAAATTAAAAAAATTGAGCCCTATTTTTGTGCTTTATGAGTTTGTCTAAAGCACAAATGAAACCTCTTGAGATTGCTGCAGAAAAGCATCAACGAAAAGTGCTTTGTCATATAAAAGCCACATTACATCAACTTCAGCTCACTTCTGCAATCTAGGAAGACTCTGTGTTAATGTAACTAGTGCACAATGACTTGTCAATGTACACACAAATTGTGT